CAAATTGGAACATTTTTCATCGGTGCTGTCAAAATCATCATAGTCATTGATTAAATTCTGAAACTGTCCATTCACAAAAACATAAAACATCCTTCGGGGCCCCCGAAATGCCGGGGCCCCGAGCTGCAGCCCCTGTAAGCCCCTGCTAAAATCCGGCCCAGCACACATGTTAAGGATAGAAAAAATAATTACAAATGTTGAGCAGAGTAAGTAAAGACAGCAGGAGAGTGAAAAGTGTGGTCAGTTTGTCCTCCAGCAGTCTAAGCCTATAGCAGCATAACTAAGGGACAGCTCAGGAAACCCAAGCTGGCCCTAACTATAGGATTTAGCAAAAAAAAAAAAAAAAAAAAATTATTCTACTTAAAACTATAAATGCTCAAACTTATGAGAAATCGTGTCTAAAAGCCTCCTGAGTCCAGGCAAAACAAAGTTTTTTGCTTCTTGTATTTAGGTGAGTTTAGTGCTTTGTAATTTGATACTGTGGGCTAAAACAGTTTGTACATAAGTAAGCACATTCTCTGGCAGTGAAAAAAGTACATACACACCATTAATACGTGAGGTCTCAGGTCAGCTGAACATACACATGGTGCAGTCCAATTTCTTTCCTTACACAACAAAAAACGAGACTAAAATGTAGTAGTAGTGTGTGAAAAAATGAAGTCCACCTTTACTTCTATATACATTAAAAGACCAAGTAGCAGTCAGGTGCTAATCAAAATTTGGGGAGCAGTGGCGCAGAGGTTAGAGAAGATGGGCCAGTGATCAGAAAGTCACAGATTCAACTCCCGGTACCATCAACATCAAAATGTGGGTGGAAAAGATGAAACACCCGCACCTACCTCTACCCTTATTTGCCCCATTCTGGGCCCCTGAACAAGGCCCCCACCATCTGCTCCCCCCAAAAAAACTGAGTTCTCATGACTCAATTAGACTACCTGTGTATATATATATATATATATATATATATATATATATATATATATATATATATATGGTACATTAAAAAAATCACTGGTTAATAATTAGTTTTAGTAATCCCACCATGAAATAAAGGGAAAAAAGTGCAATACACCTTTTAGTGTTGTTCAGAATGTGTCTCCTAATTTTCAGACCTGGTAAGAATCAGATGGCTCTTTTTAATGGAGATGAGCTTTAGTATCACTAAGAGTCTAATTTTATTTGATTAGAAGGAGATGCATCCATCATTAATATGCATCTCCTTAAAACACATAAGATAATAATGATAGGCCTGCAAATTAAATACAGATCTTATTATTAAACTTTTCGGTTGCTTTTAGCTTTTTTATTTCCTAAAGTTGGTTCTTTGCCTCTCTTGTTTTCACCGACTTGTATATAAGAGAGGAAGAGCTGAAGTGTTGATGCTACTTTGTATCTGAATTGTTTTTCAGAGATTAGTTTACATTGTTACACTTTCAATAAGTGAGAAAACCATTACTCAAACTGGTGGAATTCAAATTGTTTTTATTCCGGAAATTGCTCCCTCATTTTTTGCCATAATCAGGATCCTATAAGTACATGGACACAGTGTCAGACTGATAGTACTGATACTGAGTATCAGTGCACCTCTAACTCTGATGCAGATAGAGACAAGGAGACAGATTAGAAACACACCACAGATTATAATTACTTTCATCTAGCACTGTTCCCAAACAAACTTGTTTTCTGTTTATAAGGTTAAGAAAGTGTTGTATTGGTTTAACCTCATTTAAAGTTGATTAGTGTCTTAAATGATTTTATTTGATGACTTTTTCAACAGAGCAGATTAAAATAATACTTTATTTAGTTGATACCACTTCATCTCTACCCTGCAGCTGAGCCTAAACCACATCCCACCACTTCAGTCATATTAGTCCTAAAATGTAAAAACCCATTAAAATATGAAAAAAAAGCTCTTACTGTTGAAGGGTCATTGTTTGGTTGACAAGGTTCACACAAGATGAATTTGTTACAACAGCTCAAACATCTCTAACTCATGCCAAGCAAACATGTACTTTTAATTTTCCCTTTTTTCTTCAACAAGCAAACAAAAAGTATTTGATTGAAAAAAGAAGCTCAGTTTGATCAAGAAAAGCTACATTTTTATAAATTTGCTTAATAAAAAAGCAAAAGTCTTCACACTCGAGCATTTTTATAAGGTAAAATTTAAATAGTTTGACATGAGTTGTGATTGAAATGAAAAAAGGACACAGCAGACACAGTAAACAGACCAAACAGATCTGTGTGCTGAACCTTGCAGCTCTAAAGCAAATACTTGACATAACTTTGACTTCCAGTTTAGACTGTTTTTTATCCCCCGTCGTGGAGCGAAGAGGGGGCATGGAAATACCCTCTGTCCATTTGTCCTTCCATCCATTTTGTGAGCTGGATAAGTTGAAAAATAAGCAATGTGCTGACTTCCATTTTGGTGTGGGGCTTATGTTTAGGCATAAGAAAGGTAACTTTCGAAAATTGGGTTGCCACGTCAAAATCCAAGATGGCCAAATATATTTGTATATATGTATAGTACACTGCCTGGCCAAACAAAAAGTGGCCACCAAACAAAAAGGGTCACACACTAATACTTCATTGGACCGCCTTTAGCTTTGATTACAGCATGTGTTCGCCATGGCATTGTTTCAATAAGCTTCTGCAATGTCGCAAGGTCTATTTCCATCCAGTGCTTCATTAATTTTCCACCAAGATCTTGCATTGATGACTAGGCACTAGGCATAATGGGTGCATCCCTTCACCTGCCTCTTTTCTTACCCTGATGCACCCATCACTCTGGAACAGGGTAAATCTGGACTCATCAGACCACATGACCTTCTTCCATTGCTCCAGAGTCCAATCTGTATGCTCTCTAGCAAATTGAAGCCTTTATTTTCAGTTACCCTCACTGATTAGTGGTTTTCTTAAGGCTACACAGCTGTTCAGTCCCAGTTCCTTCACATTGTGTGTGTGGAAATGTTCTTATTTTCACTATTAAACAGAGTCCTGAGTGCTACTGTTGTTTTTCTTGGATTTGATTTCACCAAACGTTTAAGTGATCGCTGATCACGATCATTCAGGATGTTTTTCCAGCCACATTTCTTCCTCGAAGACTATGGGTCCCCACTATCCTTCCAATTTTTAATAATGCGTTGGACAGTTCTTAACCCAATTTTAGTAGTTTCCGCACTCTCCTTAGATGTTTTCTCTGCTTGATGCCAATGATTTGACCCTTCTCAAACAGACTGACATCTATTCCACGACCACGCGATGTGTCTTTTAACATGGTTGTTTAAGAAATGAGAAGCAACTCATTGCACCAGTTGGAGTTAAAAAACTTGTTTCCAGCTGAAAGATAATCGTCCATACAGTAATTATCCAATAGGATGCTCGTACCAATTTGCTTAGTTAAATCTACGTGGCAACTTTTTTTGGGCCAGGCAGTGTATACCGTATATATGCTGCATTGATCGTTTGAGGAAACTATGCTTTTTAGTTTTTATATTCCTTAAAAAGTACTTTCATCAAATGGGTGGGGTGGTTGTAGATTAATCTATGGTGGCCAGGCTCCACCATTGTGCCTGGCGGTGGATAAAATTACTCCCTGTGCTCGTCAGGATCTGTCACTCCGCTTCAAACAAGCGGAGAGAACATACCTCTGTTCTTCTACACAGTGTAACTCCTACCCACTTGAATACTGTATCTTGCTAAAAACCATTTGAGTTTATTTGCATTTCCTGATCATTTCCAGTCCAGAAAAACATTCATCTCGAAAACTACAAACATTCATTATTCAAATCCTTCAAGGATGGGGGGGCATTGGCATTCCACTTGTTAGAGGCTGAGTTGGGAGTGAACTTGACACCACCCACTTCACTAAGCAGTTATGAATGTAGAGCAGGAGGAGGATATCTACAGTATCTAGAACAGGGCTGTTCAACGAAACTGCTCAGGGGTCCACAGTTTCTGAAAGCCAGCAGCTCAGGGGCCGGACATCCAGCAGTTAAAATCATTATGTAAATCAACCAATTATTACAATGATCTGTTACCTTTTAAATTTGTTTATTTTGTTGCATTGAATCTAAATACAATAAACA